GCTAGAACCAAGCTGTGTCATTTACAGTCAAACAGTCAAATTACCCTGGATGCGGGGACCACCTGTACACAGGCGCTGTGTTTTGAAGGTCCCTTGAGCAGTCGCCTTAGACAGGTTTCAAGTACAACACGGAAACGTACCTGATCAGGATCTGGCGCTGGGGTACATGATGTACCTTGTCCAGTGCGAGACCACTGGTGTCGCTCGACTAGCCCAAACATGTTGTACTGAACGACAATACAAAGCTTCTCACTACGAAGGCCCAGTGGTCACGGGGCTGTCAGATGGCAGTTGCACGCCCTGGGACGTGACACTTCTTTTTCTCTGCACGTGTGGGTGTGTATGTGTGTGTGTGTGTGTGTGTGTGTGTGTGTGTGTGCGTGTTAATGTGCTCTTGCGTGTATATGTGTTTGTTTGCGCAGAGAAACGCTCTTTCTACATCTACTCCATGAGCCTGTGCGTGCTGAACATCCTGGGCTGTGTTGGCTCATCGCTGGTTGATGACTACAATGAGCAGACAGGATTCTGGTGAGTTAGACTCAGTGTGTGTATCATGCTAGTCACTGTGGCAGTACAGTGGTCCCTCTATAATCCGGCACCATTTGTGCCACGGAAATCTGCTGGATTAGGGAGGGTGCTGGATTAGGGAGGGTGCTGGATTAGGGAGGGTGCTGGATTAACAAATCGGATTTGCTGCTAGAATGTGCATGAAGAGGACATTTTGGCTACCAAAAATTGTGCTGGTTTATCGAGGGTGCTGGATTAGAGAGGGACGACTGTATTAGTGTTTGCATCATGCTAGTCACTGTGGCAGTATTGTTTACACTTTGCAATCCGTTCATACAAAACTGGCATCCATGAATTATACTTTTAAAAAGTTTTGATTTGAAGTTTTTTTGGTTTGCGTTTGAAAATGTTTATTTTACGCATGTATTTCCCTGTTTTCTTCTCCAGTGTTGTACTGTGTTGTACTGTGTTGTATTGCATTTTAATCCATTTTGTTAGTTTTTGCCCATAAAGGAAGCTGGTACCCTAACTTGTTGGTGTCTTCCACGTATACCACTATTTCCCCCGTAAGAGTTGTACAGTTGCGCTCGGTGAAATCCGACCCACAGTGCATATGTGGAGCCCTCAGCATTCACAGCCCTTGACCTGGCCCTGGAAAGTGGTACGAATACGGCTACACGTACACACGTACAAGTACAGTGATGTAATCGGAACTGGTCCGGGGCGTCAGCTTTGCACTTTGGATCGGATTTCGGTGAGCGCACCTGTAGATGTATCATGAAAACACCTACACCCATTGTGTGACCCGTGCAGTTCTTCAGTGCCGCAATCGAGGCCAGAAAAGTCAATTGCTCGTATGGTTGTAAAGGATGGTTGAATTCACTGTTGGTATCAGTGGTATGGCTACAAAAAATGTGGCATGGAGTAATTGCATGGTTCACACAATGCAGGATGTACTGTTGTTTTCATGATATCTACAACTATGGGAGGGAGACGCCAAAAAGTTATGGTGCCAGTTTCCAATGAATGGACTGTAGTCACGTATCCTCTGCTGTGTGTCTGTTTGTGTGTATGTTTGTGTGTCTGTTTGTGTGTATGTTTGTGTGTATGTTTGTGTGTATGTTTGTGTGTTTGTTTGCAGCTTTGTCAGCGTCACCATGTTTGTGTACTTCAGCCTGTTCCCGCCGATGATCTACATTGTCTTCTTGCAGCCGTTCTTAGGGTAAGTCATGATTGCAGTGCTCGTCCACTTGTCATGTTCATCCACACAACGTGCTGGCTGGTCAGGTACTTTATGAGCTCTACTCCTTGCTAGTGAACTCCACCTGTGAGTTTAGGGTGACTTGTATCTAACCTGCTATGCTCACTGCTTAGCAACTGAATCTGGCATTAGGCCTGGTGTTATGAACGGCTCGTTTTCATTTGGGGATGTGTGCGTGTGTGTGTGTGTGTGTGTGTGTGTATGTGTGTATATATGTGTGTGTGTGTGTGTGTGTGTGTGTGTGTGTGTGTGTGCGTGTATGTGTGTGCGTGCCGTGCTTCCACCTATTTTGTTTTACCAGGGGCAGAACCAGTGAAGGCCAAGAATCCAACAACGAGACGTCACGACTACTCAGCTGTAATTACGGCGTTCAACCTCAGCTGAACTATTCCAGTAGCTCCGTCGCTAACGCTCGTAAAGGTATCAGCGTCTCGCAGAGCAGCACGAGTACACCTGTTGTCCGATCGCCGTCGCAGGGATCGCTCATAGACTCCAGTTACCCTGGCCAAAGCGTCGCTGACGTCTTCAGTCCGCCGAACATCTACAAGCAGCCGACGCGCAGTCTCAACGACGCTCGGCATTACGACAGCTCGAGTGGCAACAGCGACAACGACGAGGCTGGCCCGCCACCAGCAGGCATTGTGTGACACATCCTGTGCAGACAGGGAAGCTCCGACTCCGCTGACTTCTATCGCTAAGAGCTTGGCTGTACAGTACTTCAGTACATACGCTAAACAGGCTGTTGCAGTGCTGCAAGGAATGTTCGTATCTCGGGACCTCCACTTCTATCATCGTTCAATCCTATAGACTACATTCAGTAAGAGATACCAGTATGTGTGTGTGTGTGTGTGTGTGTGTGTGTGTGTGTGTGTGTGTGTGTGTGTGTGTGTGTGTGTGTGTGTGTGTGTGTGACAAATCTCATTCAGGTAAGGTCAACGTTTTGCTAAACCCTGTGATTGCTGGACATGGCCTCTAAGTGTGCCGCAGTGCGAATTTGGACCGGGACAAGCATGCGCTGCACGTACCAGGGTGCTCCTCCACGCTGAACTGGTGTCGCCAAGCCACGCACTGAGCCGGTGTGCCTATGCCACGTGCTGAACCGCCGTCGGGAGAGTCTGAACCGCCGTCGGGAGAGTCTGAACCGCCGTCGGGAGAGTCAAGCCCATTAAAGACTAGTGTACGACGGGCGGCGGATTGGTGTTCTGATCTGATCTTGGCATTCTCCGGACCAGAAGTACACCAGCACGCATCTCTTCATCTTTCAAGACATGTATGCTAAGTGTTGCTACAGCTCTGCCTGGTCAGGTATTTTGACAGCTTGTGGGGCAAGGTGGCAGGACAAACTTCGAAGACCTCGTGAGCTGCCGAAATATTCTCTAACAAAAATACGGTAGGGCTTGTCTAACTCGTACTGGTGTACTGGCTACGCGTTGCTGCTAACTAAGAACTATTGCACTGGGTGTGTGTATGCTACGCGGTGCTACAACTCTAACTTGGACTACTGCGCTGGCAGTCAGCATGTGAAGATCTGCAAGGATGCGTTGTTAGTAAAGCCTGCAGCTGCTCTGCCGTTACCGTAACCACGGTTTCCGTGCTGTTGCCATAATGACGGTTTCTGTGCTGTTGCCATGGTGACAATTTTTGTTGTGTTGGCCACTGTACCTTGGCAACGCGGTACGTGCAGTGGCTGCTGGCTCGACATCGCAACAAGGTCTCGGCCCTGGCTCCGTTTCTGCTCAGGAGGTGCAACGCAACACTGACTGCTCTCTTCCCGTGAGCCTCACCTCCTCTAGTCTTCCAATTGCTTGTATCTAGTCCTTTTTTAACCCGATTACATACTGGACTACTGCCTTTGGATTTTTAGTTTCAACTTTTCTTGGCAGTGCAGTGTGTAATGGCATTTTAATCGCCGACCTATCTTTTTAACATGCACCGCTGGGGTATGGGCGTTGCTGGTAAGAACTGCCTGCTGCTTTTACAACGGATTTTGTCCAGTAAATGTATGTGTGTTTGTATATTTTTAAAGTTTGTACTCAGGAAAGGGTGAGCAGTGTTTTATGACTGTTACACCTTGCTGTATGTGAGCAACAGTCTATTGGCCTACAGTTTTTTACACACCGTATCCGCTTTTATCCAGTCCTCACAACTCAGTCATATTTTTCCTCTCATGATTATTATTTTTTCTTCCAGCATACAGCTATTACACACATGTACACACTGTTGCCAGTTCTGTATTAATCCTAAGTGAAAACGCTTCAGAGAATGCCTTATTTTCGCCAGTACGGTCCTCTAAATCTGCCTTTATCAAGTCTTCAATACTCAGTCATATTTTCTCTGCTGATTTCTTCCGTCCTTTTACCATTACGCTGACCAAACGTGCATGCCCCTGGCTGTTTAGTTTTGCATCCAACTGTCTGTGTCATCATCTTTTGGCTCCGTCTCTCTCTCTCTCTCTCTCTCTCTCTCTCTCTCTCTCTCTCTCTCTCTCTCTCTCTCTCTCTCTCTCTCTCTCTCTCTGAGAACTCCGTGGAAACCAGCTGTCTTCCGTTTTCCTGGGACTGGATCTGTGTTTCCTACAGAGAGTTGTATAGATATTACCAGGGGGTTATGTACTCCTGATATTACCAAGAGTCCATGATCCCCCAGAGTGCACAACTGGGATGGGGTTGTGGGACTGCGTAGTCCGTGATGTACGTCATTTTTTGGGCCGGACTTGCCTCACTCCATCGACGCGGTGCACCACGGTCCACACTTATCCTACTCAGGATGTCATCCTATGACGTGCAACACGGATTTCGCCGTCCCAGATCTGATAAGTGAAGTTGTGCACTCTGGGGGATATGTACTCTTGATATTACACCTTCACCCAGCCAGACCCCAGTGGATGTTTGTGTTGTGCCCCCCCCCCCCCCCCACACACACACACACACATGAACATGATAAATACTGGTTAAAAACCAGTATTAGATAAGGGGGCATCCGGCAATATCGATAATTTTCACGAAACGAAAAAGTTTAGTTAGGACCCTCCCCCCTGAACGAAAAATAGATTGACTTGACAGCAAGAATGCCTTGATGTCTCACATATCAATATTTTTCAAAACGAAACTCCCCTTGACCCACCCACCCATATACGAAACTTTTTCTCTTCGTGTAAAAGATCGATAATTATGGACGGCCCCTAGACCTTGTTATAGTTCACGCAATTGTTAGATTGACAGCATGAAACAAGGTGGAGGACACTGTGTTCGGAAACAGTGACCTAACTGCAACCTTCCGCGGTTGGCAGAGCCCCGTTCCCTGCGGACCATTTGAACCATATGGGTAAAATTTAATAATAATAATAATAATGGGTATCGCACCCGGTGACCCTCATTATGCTAGGGGGTTAGGAGACTACTCCTGATGTCGTCTTGTTTTCTTCGCTCTTTTCTTTAACTTGTATAAAGACTTCTTTTTCTTTTTTCATCCAACTTATCACCAACCCCGTCTACAGAGAGCACCTTCTCACGACAGTGTCATGGTGATGACAAAAAACTGTTGACAGTTGACGAGCTGAGAGAAGGACGCCATGGGCAGAAGTTGGAAGAAAAAAGAAAAAGAAATCTTTATACAAGTTAAAGAAAAGAGCGAAGAAAACAAGACGACATCAGGAGTAGTCTCCTAACCCCCTAGCATAATGAGGGTCAGAACCGGGTGCGATACCCATATGGTTCAAATGGTCCGCAGGGACCGGGGCTCTGCCAACCGCGGAAGGTTGTAGTAAGGTCACTGTTTCCGAACACAGTGTCCTCCACCTTGTTTCATGCTGTCAATCTAACAATTACACATAAACATGTACGCAGTTGATCTAAGGATCACCACCAGGGAGCCCTACACATACCGGCAAGAGTGGGGGTTATGGTACTCTTGATACCGGTATGCATATGTAGGGCTCCCTGATCACCACCAACGCCCGGGCAACGGGTACCGGTAGTTGTAAAAGCCGTTATCCCATGATACGGTGCAGTGCGAAGAGTATGTTGTTCCCCTTCGATTCACAGGAGGGATTAATACCGGTACCAAGAGTACATAACCCCATGTTCTGTACTTTTGCCGGTACGCACACTTCATTTTTCAAATTGCACATGAACACATTGGACTTGTATAAATATTCGTGAATGACGAAATTATTATCTGGGTCAAGAAGTGCCTATTCACGTTACTATTGACCCCGAATTGTCACAATATTCTTTCGAAAAAGGCTGAACGAAGACAGACTGCCAGGAACTGAAGCAAAAGAGGCGCACTATCTACGACGAAATCCACAGTCATACCGGTAACCAGGTTAAAAGTCTTGAAATTAAGGTGCAAAATCCTGCATTCTGGGCACTGGGTTACAAAAAAAAGTGGTCCGGCCAAAGGCGGACCGGTTGCTTCATGTACGCCCCTGGTATTTCCACTAAAACTCGCCCGGTAGACCGAAATGACCGTAACTTCAGTGTCCGGATAACTGAGGTATGAGTGTAATAGTGCGGGGCATAGGCCCGGTTATGACAAGACCCATTACATGGATAAGTCCCAAGAGTACATAAACCGGTTTATGTACGACTTATTCATGGTCTTGTCCAGGGAGTCATAAAATACCGGTATTTTACGACTCCCTGGTCTCGTCATAGTTTTAGTGGAAGTACCAGGCCCAGCAGCCGGTCCGGTTTTTTTTTTACACAATGCCCAGAAACTGAGAATGCAGCATTTTGCACCCTAATTTCAAAAATTTCCCGGGGGGAGACCCCTCTCCCCCAACGGTGCACCGGTGGTGCTACGCGCCTGAATGGTGACAACATACGCCATATCTCTGACCATTCCCAATCAAAATGTACTGGTATGTGATTGAGAGTGATGGGCAGTGCCAGGTCCCGGACCAATCGGATGATAATTGTACTAGTAAACGAGGTTTGAGTTTGTGTACGAGTACAATTCTATTCCACACTGGAGCACACCGTACTGTCGCGGACATGGAAATCCGGTCGAATGGCCGGCGCCCTCTGTGCGTACAGAACGCTGCGTGCAGTGCACGTGTTGATCGTATTCATACTCTACTCATGGCTGTATGGACAGCGCTGGCCCTGCGGCCGCTTGATCTCCGACCGGATTTCCATGTCCAAGACAGTAGACGGTGCTCCAGTGTGGAATAGAATTGTACTCGTACACAAACTGCTGCCATGGTTACCCAGGCCACTGACAGCTACACACTGTTGCTGAGCACAGACTCAGTACAGACAGTGTCATTACCGCGTCACACTTGAACAATGCTGGGGACAGAGAGTCAGTCTACAGTAACAGCACCCTGCACTAGGCTGCAGCATATCATAACAGTCATGTATTCCATGCATGCCCACCGCTCATGATATTAATTGAGAGGTTCTATTCGACCGTTTTCCAGACAAACGTTCAGCGCACTGCATAGCTCAGGCTAGGGCACCACAACACCCAAAAGAATCACTCGGAAACCAGCGGAATTTTTCACGGGCGCCCGAGTGAAGAGTTGGAGCGCAAGTAAGTTTGAACATCATTCGCTCAGCGCACGTCACGTTCAAGACCTTGGCCAAGAACAAGGTGAAACAGAACCTCTCTCTCTCTAGCTCTATTAATCTATTTATCTACCGTATTTGCTGGAGTATAGTGCGCACTTTAGATAAACTATTTTAGGCCCTAAATCGCAGGTGTATATTATGAAAAATAGTGCAATGCATCAAACAATTGCGAAGTTTGCCACCTCTGAACCGGAGCAAACCATATGACGGAGTGCATTTCTAGTGTCTACAGCCAGCTACACTGCTAACACATGATTGGTTAGAACCCCATCAGTCGCATGTGCATTATAAATGGAAAATGGTCGATATAGTACTGTCAATGATGCTCTCAAATCTAGGCTGCGCATTATACTCCAGATATGTCTTGAATCGCCAAAACGTTACTCAAAAGAAGGGGTGCGCATCATGCTCAGGCGAGCGTTCTACTCCGGCAAATACGGTATGTCTCTGTTTCTCTCTACAGACTAGTGACAGGATGCCCAACTGTCACTAAAAGTCATGGCAAATGCCAAATCATAATTATGTCTTTTTCAGCCTGAACTGCACAAGCAGCACATGCTGCATGCCCACATAGTATACTACAGTAAAACCTGTCAAGGAGACCACCTGTCCTGGAAGACCACTGAAACCAGGACCAAGGGATGCTATTTCCAGTCAAATGACCCTGGTAACAGAGACCACGTTTTCAAGGTCTCTTGAGCGGTCGTCTTAGACAGGTTTCACTGTGCTAGTTCATGTACTGCATAATGCTGCCAGCAGATATGAATACAGTACATGCACATGCAACCTGTTTCATATCATCGGCGGTATCTTAGGTGGACACACACCAGTACATTATTACTACTAGTAGTATGCTACCGTCTACAGGCCCTGACTTTCACACGATCACATGTAACACACAACACGACCCAGTCAGTTTTGTGATACGCACAAAATAATTCTAGCTGAAAGAGCAGGTAGCCGAATAAGCAATCCATGAGACTATGGAACGGCTTAAAGCTCATATACAAAATCTGCCCTGCTAACACTCTCACTGAGTCTCAAAAGTGCAGAGCGGTGAAGGACAATTTTCCGCACAATGACAATCAGCCAGAAATTCAACAAGATGACATTTTTACGCAGCAAAATTTCGACAAGTATAATAATATTATGGATGGAGTTGCATGAAAACCGAGCAGAGAACTAAGCGAATGCCAAGAAGCACAATATCAGGTATAACGCCTAACCAGAGAGTTCTCACAGGTTGTTGGACTTGTCGTGTCCCTTCTTCATCTCATAGAAAGGCCACCAGTAGGCGAGGGACATGGCAAATACGACGGTAAACCAACGAACGTGCATATTCTTCGGCAAGGGAGCGCCTCCATTCACATAGTTGTGTTCCTGGTGAGAGAGACGAATTGGTTGCCGAGCAGCAATAGTGCGGATAGCACCAGTATTAGAAGGCCGCAAGGCCAAACGAGCAATAGATGACGACATTTTGTGTCCCTTCGATCCTAAATCCACTCGAAGACAACTCCAGTGCAGAGCACACAAGAAGTAGTTGGGAAGCGGCCTTCTTTGCAGTTTGCTGCTTACGATTTTCCCGGCTCAAATTAATCTGAAATCGGTCTGTTGTTCAATTCTCCAAGATGATTTAGCAGGATCGCCGGGACCTAAAATGCAACTTTCGATTTTGAAGTCAAGGCAACGACTTACAGTACATGTGGCATACTGACGTCATGTCAACGTCATACTAAACAATCATAAGCCATTGAATCAGTCACGTAGTTCAAAAATCGCCTTCGTCGTATTCAAAAATATTCCTTTTCCAATTCCAAGCACTCGTCTCTCAAGAATACAAGATAATAATAATAATTATAATGTCGACAGTCAAGTCACTCAACAAACCATTCATCATGATCATTGCAAAATTTAATCTCATACCACCTACCTAACACAGCGAGCCAGTCACCTAACTCTAGCTCTGAGCAGTCACAGTCATCTACTTCACAATGAATCTCGCCAACAGTAGTTGATTCTACTGTTGATCTCGCAAACAACTAAACTAGACGCAGCAAGTCTAGTTGGAGGAGAAGTCTTTTATCAAACGATATCGTGGATATGTTAGCTGCACGTTATGAACTGTTCCCTGGTGGACATGATGATGAGCATGGTCCGTTTCCAACAGCGGAAGCCTTTCTTCTGGCTGCCAAGGAAAAGTCGTTTTGTGAGTACTGTATTACACCGAATGAAGATAATTTTTTGGGACAGCACGTACGTATTGAGCACGACAACAGTGCACCCATGTACGTGTGCATACAGGGCAGGCACCATGCCAAGTCCCAGTGAAGTTCTGTTGGTCGTATTGATTTTTTGGACTCTGATGGAGAGCCAAGGATAAATTTATAGAAAGAAAAAGGACCAAGAAACTACAAGTTTAATACGCTATTAATTTTTGTTTGCTTGTTTTCATGGTTCGTTGTTGTACTGGGCAGTACGTAACACTATTCAAGGTTCAAGGTTCATGACTCCAAGCTTGTCACCTGTAGAGTCTACATGTAATGGAAACCTATCAGACGATTGTTGGTTCTGGGAAGTATTTTGTTGCACACGCACTCATGCGCGCACACGCACCTTGAACCTTGGACGCCCATCCACGATCAGGATGATAGCGGTGTCAGACAGAGCAGAAAGGGAATGTCTCTTCAAATCTCCAGGGCACACAGATGCGCGCGCGCGCGCACACACACACACACACCTGTCCTGCCCTGTCCTGTTGAGCCACTGCCATGAAGGTTACGTGGGCCCCGGAGGGGCAACTGAGAGAGAGGAGGAGCACACAGCCCTGTGACGATCCAGGTGATGCGGCAAGCGAAATCGGCGGGAGCAGGCGCAAACACATGTGAAACCCTGACGGTCCTGAACGGTCGGACGACTACAAGTCTGTGAGCAGCGATGACGGGCGCGGCCACGTGTAGACGCAAAGCAGCGGTCACAAGCCCGGCAGTGAGCGACGCAGCACAGCAGAGAAGCAGGCAGCGGCAGGTGCGCATCGACTGCTGACTGGGGGTAAGCACACTTGTGCCTTGCCAGACCTCCACGGGACCTCAACCAACGGCCACACTCCCCACACTGGCATGCACCTTTCTGCTCCGCAACCGGCTTCGCACGCTCAACCTTACACTAGTGGCGTGCGCGATCACTGGGGAGTGCAAACTGTCGGTCGCAGGTGTAGCAGGTGACGGGAGGGGGACGATGCTGGGCATCTACCGGTGCTGAGTACGCCGAGCGCCAGGTGGAACGCGACTCGCATTCAACTCGCCATTCCCCCTCGAGGCCGCGAGAACGAAGGTCAGACATAATACAATCCTTCCAGCGCCGACGAGGGCCATGAGCTGGGCGACGTGACGGAAGCGTGCCAAAGAGAACTTGCTTCGGCAGCTGGCGGTCCTCCATCCGAGCAACATGTCCGAGCCATTCAAGGCGGCTGTGCTCCACCTTCGTGCGGATGGTGTCGGGATCACCCCACCTCACGCGTAGTTGGTGATTGGTGATGTGGTCATCCCAGCATTCTTGGCGAGACACTCCCATGATCGAGCGGATGCATCGGTGGTGGAAGACAGAGCCGCTGCATATCCCGTTGAAGAGGCGTCCAACACTCCGAACCGTACAGCAAGAGCGACAAGACACAGGCGTTGAACACACACCTCCTGATGTGTAGGTCCAGGTGCTTGTTGCCAAAGATGGACTTTTGCAAAGCGCCACACGCTCGGGAGGCATTCGCAATGCGGGAGTCAACATCGCAGGATGAACGGCCGCCGCTGTGAATTACCGAACCCAGATACTTAGTAGGTAGATGCCATGCTGGTGCCAATACTGTAATTTTACAAATTGTTGGTGTGCTTTTATTTTCGGTACTTTCGGTGCAGCTGTTTCATACCTAAATTTTCAATACACCGAACAAACACTAACACGCATACTCCCATAGGGAACTGCTTCTCTGTACCGAAAATTTCTGTTCACCTAACCTGGCGTTTTGCCCTCATACCGAAAAAATTGAGCACCGAAAATTTCTGAAATTAGAGTACCCAAAAAAGGTGACCTCTCCAGGTGCGATAACTGGCGTGGGATATCTTTGCTGGATGTCGTAGGCAAGGCACTAGCAGGAGTCATTCAGCTACGCCTCCAGTCTCTGGCCAAAGAACTCCTCCCGGAATCGCAGTGTGGCTTCCGCCGTGGCCGATCATGCTCCGACATGATATTTACCATCCGCCAATTTTGGAGAAGACAGTAGAACATCAAACCAAGAGTTTCTTTGTCTTCATCGATTTGCGCAAAGCTTACGACTCGGTTCCTCGTGAGTGTCTCTGGCGGATATTGGCTAGAGCTGGCGTCCCTTCACCCATGCTGGCGGTGATCAAGTCGTTTCACACCTCAATGGCTGCTGTATTACGCATGAGTGGTACAACTGTAGATCCCTTTAGCGTTCATAATGGTCTACGCCAGGGTTGCTCAATGGCGCCCGTGCCGTTTAACATTTTCATGTGGGCCGTGGTAGGCAGATGGCAGCAGCGCGTTAGTGGTGTACCTGGTATTGGTTTCAGCTTCTCGCACAATTCTGACACTGGTAACCTCTACAGGAAGTCTCACCGCACCGACCCTGTCACTACTGCTACGGAGGCTCAGTTCGCTGATGACTCGGCATTGTTCGCTACATCGAGAGCTGGTGGCGAGGCCGCATTGACAACCTTTGACAACACGGCATCTGAATTTGGCCTCGCGGTTAGTGCCACAAAGACAAAGTTTTTGGTTGCTGGTACTGATGTGTCTGCTGCTGACTGCGTACCCCTCAGTCTAGTTGGTGTCGACATTGTCTGTGTCACCGAATTCAAGTATCTGGGTTCGGTAATTCACAGCGGCGGCCGTTCATTCACACACACACACACACTACTACTATGTACAACTGCCACAAAATGGCCACGTCGCTCCCAGAAGCGGGAGACAACAGCGAGAAAGGAAAAAGAAACAAGGAGAGTAATTGAGGTGAAAGGGGACCGTTCTACATACAGCTAGTGTTTCTGTCCTTCGGTGGCGGGTGAGGTCCTGCGGGCGGGAGAATCGTTCGCTACATAGGCTGCATTGAATGGGCAGATTAGGTCTCTGGTCCTTTCGCAGTCGTTTGCCTCGAGTACAATTATGGCGGTTAAAACCAGCCTGACTCTTCATGCAGCAATCACAGGTCGAGCAATGGTGCTGGCAGCAGTCCAAAAACACACACACACACACACACACACACACACACACTTGTACTTGTTGCTCACTGCCGAAACTGGTCACGTGGGTTTCCCCGGGAGAGGGGAGAGAGACTCAAAAGGAATCTTGGAAAGATGACTCAACTGGCTATTGAACCGCCCAACGGCCGACACCCCCTGAAATCCCCAAAACTCTGGGTGGACTTGAAAATGATCCCACTTATGGGCTCACCACACCTCAGTAAGTGGGTGAGGACAAGGTGCAGAAAAAGGATTGACGGCATCAGGGTATCCGTCCCGGGATCCAACTGCAGTTACCTCTGCCCTCAGTGAAGGTAATACGTGCTACTAGTGTGGGTAGCTAAATCAGGGTGGATCTGATACAAGCTTCACTAGCACCATTGATTACACAAGAGTTAATCTAGCCAGAAGCAGTCCATGGTTAACAGGTATGTATACTTCAAATAGAAAGTATATGAACCCTGGAACCAACAAAGGTGGCAGGTACAACATTACACCTTCAAGCAGCCGAGCCCGTTGGCAACAGACCCAACACAATGAGGCATATGTGTACCCACCAACCGAACTAGCTGGCACACACACACACACACACACACATACACGCACGCACGCACATGGACAGGCGGGCAAACAGTGCTGCTGACATGTCGCGTACGACCGTGTGCTCCATGATAGCCTTCCTCGCATTACACTGGCTGTTTGTTGTCTCTGTGTGCGGATGTGTAATATCATGTTCAATTAGTGAACAGCAATGGTTTGCTGCTGCTGTTGCCATTGTTGCTGTTGCTGCTACTCCTACGGCTGCTGTTGCGGTTGCTGCTGCTCCTACGGCTGCTGTTGCGGTTGCTGCTGTCTTGCACTATTGTCTCTATGTTTGCAGGGAAATCCCTGAGTTCTAGCCCTAGCTATCATGACAGGCATTGTGCAAAGTGCCATCTCTTGCAGTGCAGCGACGCGTCCACGTCCGATAGCCGCGGTGACGGAGGCATTGACGCCGCTGCCACCACCACCACTACCTGTAGTGACGCCGCGGCCACCACCAGCACCAGCACCACCAGCACCAGCACCAGCACCTGTCCCATGGTGCAGTGCGGCCTCCACTGCGGCGCGCGCATGCACGCCTGTAAGCTGGACGACCACGAGCAGCTGGTGTGCCCGCTGGCGACCGTCGACTGTCTGAACGTCGAGTACGGTTGCCCGGTGTCCATACAGCGCTGCAAGGTGCAGCAGCATCTACTGACGTGTCCCGCCAGCCTGGTCGTTTGTAACCTCAGGTACATTATTTTGCCTTGTCCCCTGCTTCCCATGATTGGTGTTCTCTTTATATCCAGTGGAATTGGCATGTTTAATGCTGTGCATCTAAGTGATAATAAGGCATGGAAGTATCCTAGTGAAAACTTTCAAGATGTTCAAGACCATGACATGTGTCCTTCTTCTCAGTGTGATTGATCTAAGCAAACTTCCCTTTGTATTTTTTTCATATTATCTTTGTTTTGCGTTGCCAGGTGGAAAGCTCGTCTTCCGGCCACACTCACTCCGCATTCGTCGTCACGACGACCATCAGCCTCTTCATTACCTGGTGACAAACATCTATTGAGCAGGAGTGATTTTGCGTGGCGATTGAAGCGCATGCAAGGCATCTGGGCGGGCCAGGTTGACACTGATTCAGCTGGCCTTGGCCAGTTTCGTGACCGACCGCAGGAAACGTTAGCGCAGGCTTCTGGGCCACCTGATGACACCACCGCCATTGCCAGCAGAGCTACGGTAACGGGTGGGAGTCAAGAGGATGCCGGCGACCAATTTGGAACGCTTGTTGTATGCTCTGCTGACTGCTCAGCTGCTGGTGCTGCTGGTGGTGCTGGGGCTGGTGGTGGTGTTGCTGGTGGTGGTGGTGTTGCTGGTGCTGGTGGTGGTGGTGGTGTTGCTGGTGCTAGTGCTGCTGGTGTTCATGCTGCTGATGCTAGTGCTGATACTGCTGGTGGTACTGGTGCTGCTGGTGATGTTCCGTGCCAAGGGACGAGTGCACCAAGCCGCAGCGCTTCACCTGACACACACTGCTTTGCACTCGAACCGCACAGCTGTAGGGCAACTCCGGCATGTCGGCATCCATACTTTCTATTGTTGTCGGACGAAATGAACTGGTCGGCCGTCTCCTTTCACAAGCCATTGCCCGGCTCCTTGCAGGATTTCATCATGACGCCGAAGAAGAAGAAAGAGGTTACTTTCCAACACCTCCAGGTAAAGATGTGTTGTTCTTAGTAACTTCTTACTGTTACTGGTACCGGTATGTGTGTGTGGTGGTGGGGGGGGGGGGGGGGGGGGGGGGGAGGTGCGTGCATGTGTGCGTGCGTGTGTACATGCGCGTCTGTGTGTGTTCGTGTGTGGTGCATGTTATATTTTGTGAAAAATGTGCCAAACTTGGTTGCATTCTTCAAAATGTGTACGAGTTCGGGACCTAAATCGATGTTCCCGTCAGGTTTCACTGTGAAAAAGTGAAACTGCTCAATCTCCGTACCTACAGACTACCGGTATTATGTCGACTGGATCTCCGAAAACAAATTCAATTTCCCTGGTAAATTTCCCAGGCCACCCCCAATTTAGGGCGGGAGGGGACGATCATCAAGTATATTCTTTGGTTTGGCCTACGGTGCAGTTGTCACCACAACATTCTCATGTTCAAAGTTTTTGTAACTCGCCTGTCGTAGAATTTGTTTGTAGTAAAACATGTAGAGTGGGAAAGGGAACTGTTTTAGCCCATTTGAGTCGCTTCCCATTATCAATCTGCTCTGCTTTGCTAACCCCATGATGTCTACTATGTGTGTGTAGGTGGTACGGCGACAGGAGTTTCCCGATCACATCTCCAATCTTGTGAGGTTCACGTCACAGCCGCCCATGTCGCAGTGTGCCTTCCGAACGCACGGCTGCTCGTTCCAAGTCAGCAACGTGCAGCTTGGATTCACAGGTCAGCAGTGTATGCTACAGTGTACATGATTGTGCTACGTGTGATAGAAGACCTGTCTTTAGTGACCACCTGTCTATAGAGGTCACCTGTCTTTAGAGATCACCTGTCTATAGAGATCACCTGTCTATAGAGATCACCTGTCTTTAGTGACCACCTGTCTATAGAGGTCACCTGTCTTTAGAGATCACCTGTCTATAGAGATCACCTGTCTATAGAGATCACCTGTCTTTAGAGATCACCTGTCTTTAGAGATCACCTGTCTTTAGAGATCACCTGTCTTTAGAGATCACACATTCTGCCACACAGCCAGTCTCCATAACATAGTGACATCGCCGACTAGACTTCCTACTGAATCCATCTTAGACCTAGTACTAGTACCCAAGACATTCGACAACACCCACCTATCCCAGGCCACACAAGGTAGACACTTCACCGTGAACAGCTGCACAGTTGAGCCATGCGATGCATCGGACCACCAGCTTGTCCTAGTTGACATGACAGTAACCCTCCGTTCCCTCCCAAAGGAGCAATGGGTCCAAACAAGAAAGCCGCCCATTAGTTCGATTGATATGAGTAGCTTTAGAGACCAACTGGCATCCGCATTGCTCGACACATCCACTGACACCACAACTACTACATGCCAACGAATTCAACTATTCCAACACAACGTATCTGAGGTCCTGGACAAGCACTGTCCAATGACAACCGTCAAACTACTTGTACGTGGCAAATACAAACCTGCCCCTTGGGTGGATGACGAGCTCCGGAAATTGTTGTTCAGGAGGAAGCGTTCGCACAGGAAAATGAGAAAGAACCCAGCTGACCCGCAACTAGTACAGAACTTCCGGGCACTGCAGCAGCAATGCAAACCTCTCACGCGTCGCAAGCAAGCCACATTCTTTCAGAACGAATTTATTTACAATAGGAAGAACACCAGAGGCCAATGGAATGTTCTAAACACTCTGCTTGGTCGAATCAAGATCCACCGTGAACCAGGTGCAGAGGTCAAAGCCATCACAGCTACATTCTCCGAAATAGTATCACCGGATTCGCCAACTACACCAACCGCTACAACGCACACTACACTGCCACTAGGTCAGATGCCTGAACACAACTTTTGCACTTTCGACCGCATCCCAACAAGCCTCGTAGAAGTCTACCTAAAGCGGTTGGACTGCCGTAAAGCGTGCGGCCCCGACAACGTACCCGCAGCAATCTACAAGTCTGCAGCTGACGGGATTGCCCATGTTCTCACTCCGCTATTTTCAGACTCACTACAATCTGGAACTTTCCCAACTCCGTACAAACAGGCTAACGTTCGGCCAATACATAAGCGAGGTGATCACAGCGATCCTACTAATTACAGGCCAATATCGCTCCTTCCGCAAATGTCAAAGCTGTTAGAACGCTGCGCCCTTGACCAGCTAATGGAATTCGTGCGTGGCGCTCCACAAGCAAACCGAGCACTGCCGCCTGAACAGTTCGCCTACAGAAGACAACACTCCTACGATGACTTGCTAGCCTTGGTGGCGAATGACTGGCAGCAAAGTCTGGATGCCGGTAAATTTGTGGTGGCAGCGTTTCTTGATATGTCGAAACTGACTCGAAAGCATTTGACACGGTCAATCACGACATGCTCCTGCAGGAGCTTTTCGAGATCGGCGTCGGAGATAGCGCCCTGCAATGGTTTGTGAGCTACCTACGAGGCAGGCGACAGCGAGTGGTAACACACACGTCTAGAGGTGAACTGTACGAAGCTCACAGGGGAGTTCCTCAGGGATCCACCCTCGGACCTGTGCTCTTTAACCTACCGTACTCACTTGATTAGAAGCCCCTCTCGAATAAATGCCCCTCTTGAATAATAGCCCCCCTACAAGGACTGTTTGAAAAAATACAAGCCCCTCTCGAATAGAAGTCCGGACTACTATTCGCAAAGCATGGG